AGACATACAGTTTAATATTCAAATGTTGCGACAATAAAACCGTGAAGCAATTCACCTTTGTCAACCTTTGAACACCAACTTGGTGGCTAGGTTTAATTCTTCATGCGTGACCACTTCACTCTGTGGAAAGCCTGTACAATGTCCCCTTTCTTCAAATGTGGGAAGTTGCCAGGTTGGTTTACTGCGACTTTTGTTTTCATGATTGATGTTGTCTGATAGAGCAGATATTTTCGAAAGTTTTCCTACTGCTCTAAAGTGTAAATAGTCAGGTCAGCGGTCCTGTGGGACAAATGACCACTGCGACGCGAACAGCTTAAAGGACGAATTAGACCGACAGTAGAATACGTGAAGTTTTTTGGAGACCCAGGCTGAGTGATGCGCAGAGTCACAAGCTAAGAATTATTCACACATGAGTTTCACCGATACATTTCTGCAGTATACTTATGAGACTAAGTCGATGGAACACACATAAAATTCAGTTTCCGGGAATTCGTATTTCAAGTGCTGCCAAACTGGTGCAAGTTCGAAGAATTCTGTGAAATGTCACGAACGATTTAAAAACAGCATACCCAGAGAAAACTGCATTTCGATAGCATCTAGTCATAAAACTATGCACACAAGATATGACAGCATTAGTGGTCAGATGCAAAAACTAGTTCATTAGGTCATGGGTTAAAGTTCCCGAGTGGAATGAAGAGACAATCAGTTTGCAGAGACAAAAGCGGATCACCAGATGGCACGAACTTCAGGTTCATCAATCTGGTGCGGCAATCATAAAGCACTCATTCACAAGTCAGACCCCCTGAGTCCCAACCGTTACCCGGTTAATCAGAAGAAATCGGGCCCTACTTTCCTCTTTCGTGTACAACAAGGGGAGGAAAGGAACATTTCAAAAGTCCTTAATGGTTTCGATATAAACGGAATAGGCCAATTTAAACAACTCATTGCACAACACTCAGCCAGTGGTAACCTATAATGTTTACCACCGGAAATCTATATGAAAGTGATGCGGAAGGATTTAAGACCAATGCAACCAAGGCTAGATAACTCAGTAAAGGATTGTACATATTTGCCAAGAACTGGACTGCATTCACTGAGCTGTTCACCCTTAAAAGCAAACCTTCATCGAGTGCGAGACCAGTGATTACGACTACTTGTGTTGAGAAGTTTGGAGCACCGCAAACTTTCTTGTTTTCATTTGTAACCAGGTATAGTAAATCTTAGTCAGTAAGGGCAAAATTAACAAGAGGTGAAGTGGTTCAGATGCCCAAACTTGAGGAAGAAATTGCAAATCCTTTCACATGACAACAATCCCAAGAAAAAGCTCAGGTGAACATCGAAATCTCGGAAGATGTGGAAGCCTTCTGCTACGGAAAAAACAGTGTCTGCGAAAAGATCAGTAAAAAAGATGGCTACTTAATCCATCTGCAAAAACGTCAACTAGAGTGATGGGCCGAACACTTCGAACAACAATTCGGCTGGCCTCTTGAGACAGTCTGTGGAGATAATGCGTACGGTCGAATAAAATTTAAACCTTGATTGCCCTTCGAAAGAAGAAATAACCTACCAAATGTCCTTACTAAAACGCGACAAGACATCAGGACCAGACGATCTGCATCCGCTTTCCTAAATGAAGGCGGAGAATCGCCGGTAACCCATCTAACAAAGCTATATGGAACGACGAGGTGTCTGCAGAATGAGGCATATCGAAACTCATCCCTATCCTCAAAGAGGGTACCTGGACGCTGTATGAAAACCAGCGTGGCATCAGCCTGTTAGCTGTGGCTGTATTACCCTTCGAAGGTTGACTGAACACAGGGAGGGACAGATCAGTGGAAACTAAGCTGAATTTCGTCCTGAAAGAGGATGCATCGATCATATATTCACCCGTGCTGCGTATGCCAGTCGACCGACTTCCCCGAAGGGTCCTTTTCGTGCAACCACGTGAATGGTGGAGATGTGCTAGAGGCGGTCAAACAATAACTTAGCAGCGAATTAAACAAGCCATTAACAGCAACCTCAGCTGCGCTGGTCATTGTCATCTCCCTGGATGAGGACCGCGAGCAGGGCCACATTAATGTTTAGAGGCACTGTCATACATGGTCCAGTCGAGCCCTCAATGGCGCTCGTACATCCAAGCTATTGCCTTCATTGCATAGCTTCTTTTCCTATTCCCACACTTATCAGTCTACGGACAGTGTTGTATACCAGCTTCCGTCTCCAATCCGCAGCTACCTACCCCCTCTCCCAATTATCCGTAAACGAAACTGTGGCAGCTAAGAACACTGTACGACAAGTACGCCGTTCTTACAGCTGACAATGATGATGATGACGATGACGATGATGATGATGATGATGATGATGATGATGATGATGATGGTGATGATGATGATGATGATGATGATGATGATGATGATGATGATGATGAATCACAAGAGACACGAAAACTTTGTGATGATGATGAATGATGATGAATCAAAAGAGACACGAAAACTTTGTGATGCTCAGTACTCGTTTGTCGTTTTTTGGAGCTGATAGGCCAAGCCTATTTTCAGGGATACATTTACGGCACTTCGTGCCTAAATCCTGAAATTCAGATGTGTTGATAAACGCCAATTCGGAAATCGTGTTGATATTACTGGGAGACAACTGGATTCCTTGTTAATCTCTGGCCCGTATTGCATTTGGAACGGTATTCCAAGACTTCATGAAGTTATGGCCTAATGCTCAAGCAAAACACTAAAATCAGTGGCAATTAAGGAAGCTAACCTATCGGGTAGGCCCTCAGCTGGACTCAGCCGGCAATGAGCTGTCCGGAGTTTTATCGTCCTTATGAGTAGTATCACGAAAACGGAAAACTTCCGATGAAATATGGGAAAGCTTTCGTGGAGCATATTGAGCTGAAGGACAGTTGTTTGGACAGCCGTTGAGTCATCCGATAACACCCACTTAATTTTCGAAATGAATATTTATTGACGTATCACAAATTTTTCTGAAATAGAATTATTGATTTTCTCCCGCAACAAAACCTGGTTTCAACAACTCGCTCCTACCTGTCTTAAAACATGATTTTACCCCCTGGTGCGCACGCTTGGATAGTTCTGGTCTGAATATGACAGTAGAGACGTAAATAAACATCATTATTTACAAAAACCTCAACGGATTTCTACCTAAGTTTTTCATTTCAACTATCCACACACTGGTTTACATTCTCTAGCACTTTTCTTGGCCATTCATCTTGACCACCTGCCTGTCGACAATCTGGACGGGTAAATAACGCTTAATGCACAGCCCCCACCCTTACTTGCCTGAAATTGGAAAAAAGGCTGTGTGCAGGCGCGGATGGATCAAGTAGAAATGAAGTTTTATTCAATTAACACGCGAACTGTCAAATAGTCAATGACAGTGCGTGAAATATGTGGAAACAATTGTTTGCTAAGTCAAAGTGCCTGACCTCATTAGATTTGTGTGCGTGCATATTTTGGCTTTCTCTACATACCCTGATTGGAACAAACATTTTAAACGTATTACCTATTGTTCATATCAATACCCACCCTCGGTATGTCGCCACTAGGTTGAAAAACGAGCGAATCCTAACTTAAGACGTCTGAATCAACAGCATTTTTGTACCTATTTGTTTAGCTGGTAGTTTCCTCAGTGCCAAACTTAGCGATAGTTTAATCTGGATAACGACCCTTTGGCTTCTGTGGAAGTGGGGATCGCTTGTGACTGAGCCAATCAATCTGAAAATAGGAGCGAAGTTACACGCTGAGTATTCTCCTGACTCCGTTGCACTGGTAAATGTTTTGCTGAGTATTGATTACACAACTACACCTTAGGATGTCGTTTTAAAGGGACTGTTAAATGTTTTGGTGAGTACTGATTACACAACTACACCTTAGGATGTCGTCATCAATGACCTAACTCGTCCCTGGATGCCTCACATTAACAGTAAGAAACCTAAACTAACTATGATGTGGTCACATGCAGTGTGTAGTTCATCCAACCTTATTCTCTGCAGTACCTTGTTCCTTGTCCTGGTGTCGATCCGTTGGATTAGGATTCCGGAAACCTACAAAGTTGACCGTTGATGTTTTGAAGGCACTTCGAAAAACTACATCAAATTATAGTTGACAAGCTAGTTGAAATTGGATTGAGCAAAGTAGAGATTCCCTGGTGAATAATGCAAACTGAGAGCATGTCCAACATTGAACTCCGGGTCTAACGTCTTCCACGGCGTCATTCTAACAGTTACCATATTTCCGCCTCTATCTTAGTAGAAATCTCCCGTTTTTTCATGTTCCTAATCAGGGGCAACTATCCCCACGTCCCATTTCCAAGGCTTCTTCACTGGTTTAGGGGAATCTGCAAGTAATTCCTTTCTACTTCTCAACTAGAATGCACCAATGTGCTATTTTCGTTTCATATTGTAAGCTGTTATCCGTTTCTGTTGCTTGGGTTGCTAATATTTGCCGTTGTAGGATATCAACTTATGCTGGCTGGAGAAAAGAACAGCCAAAACTTGTTCATCATTTCCTATTCTGGAGTGCAACATGCTTCGTAACCAGCGTGGGAGGGTGGACGATGTAAGTTTCACGTTGCCCATTGTAAAAGTAATGGCTACTGTTATGTGAATGCCTTTGAAATACGCGCAAATCCGTTGGAATTCTGATCTGCATATCTATTTTTATATATTTCTACCGTTTCATCCCGCGGGAAAATGTTGCAAGGTTTCCACCAGTGAAGTTTGAGAATCGATAGAACTTCCGAAACGATAACACGAAAACTGAAACTTTCTGTGCCAGAGCCCAAGACCCACCTTATTGAATCTTGGAGAGAATGCACTAGTCCACGTCCATTCTTTGCTTTGCGAACGTAACACACTGTTCGTGATGCACTACTCATAAGGTTGCTGGAAATCCTTCGACAGCACACGACTGGTTTTGTCCTTCTTGGAAACATCACAAGCGAGAGATTCGGCTGGGTTCCTGGTGAGTCTCTCAAAAAGCCAAAGTTATTCGCAAACGAGTGTATTTCGCTAATTTCGTGCAACTCGGTTTCAAGTAGAACATAATGTTGACGAAACCTCGGGGACTGCGCCTACCTGATGAGCTCCAAGTTGGGCGAAGCCGATCATGGGCTGTCGAAGAATTTTCAGCAACCTAATGGATAGTGCATTACGAATATACATGCATCGCTATATCTCGTATATCGTAGCGAATGGAACATGAGGCGACCTGGTGCAGCACATTCAGTTGCCTGGAAACATCGCAAACGAGAGATTCAGCTGAGTTTTAGGTGAGTCTCTCACAAAACCAAATTTGTTCGCAAAAGAGGGTATTTCGCTAGTGACGCGCACTAGTTGGGTTGTACGACCTGGTACCCACCTCAGAGAATGGCTGGCAATCTGTTATTTTGTGGATAAACCGGTGAAATCAAGCACACGATAAACCTCATTGCGACCCGGCACAATCGTACAACATGATATGTTCAGTGCTACCCATTAGTTCCAAAGTTGTCCGCCGAAACTCGAGATCGCCGAGGTAATCGATATTACACCGCACCGGCACTGTCAGTATCATCGGAAACGTCAAATGGCAGGACTGGTGCTGCCTTGGCAAGTATATCACTTCTCTCCGACCATATCCAACCAGCTGGTATAGCTGGTTGGCAGCATTTATCAACGTCAGTGTGTCGTCGTTTATTCCAGGTGAGAGTGTATGTAAAACAACTTTCGCAGAACACCAATATTCACCTAAAATTTCAACTATTACTACACTAAGCAACAACCAGTTCAAACTAAAATAGTTAGGCCGATTAAAAGTTCGACTGTCAACATACTGAGTCACCACTATTAACGTGTCTCTTGATGTTTCATCGTTCTGAATATTGTTCATTGCATACTACCCAGTCCCTCCCCACATTGGCTGAGTACCTGCTGGCCACTGAAGAAACTATGTGCCGACTACGAATAGGAGTGAATTGCTCTCGTTCAGACCTGTCCAAACCAGTTTTGCCCGTTGAGGAATTATGCATGAAATGCATCCGTACCTATTTTCTCGCTGTACTTTGCTTCAGGAGTTTTGTCAAAAAAAAGTACGCACACTCGATTCCAAACTGACAGAGACATCAGCATGTTGCCCACATCAGGCGTACGGTCAGTCAGTGGACCAGTGCGGGACAAAATGAGTTTCTCTCCTGTAATTAATGAGCTGTCTCCGTTTCGGTCACTTACCTGGTTGTGGAATAGTGTACTCCTTCGTAAGTTGACAGCTACAGTGGCATACGCACACACAAACACACACAAGCACACATTACAGTTCGTGTTCTCACTGCCTGTTGGGATAGACCTTAACTTTAACGCCAGCAACTACAACGATGGTGCTTCGACTGTCCCGATTATTCGTACAAAACAAGTCTACACAAGGGTCGATGGCGTGTGTTCCACGAGCACTGCCCTCTCTCAAGCGGTGACAGATTTCAGTGATGTGCAAATCAAACGGAACAGCTTGTGCCAATCTATGAATTGATTACGGGAGGCTGGTTTTTAATGCAAAAGGGACAGTGTTGTTGGTCCTCAAAACCAATCGCGCACTACACGGAACACGTCAAAATCGCTGGTCTTTTCTTCAGCAGGCAAAATAAGTTTTATTGGACTTGGAAGGAAAAGAACTGTTCTCTGTTCCCTCAGTCGCACGTATTCAATGGGCGATGGAGGAGTGCTAATCGCCTTGTATTACAGCCTCCGATGACTGGATTAAGAATTGTTTGTGCATGTCAGCTTTTTGGAAAAGGATTCCACTTAAAAGTCTAACATACACTGGTATCTTTGATTATATCACATTCCTGTGAATAAAGTTTCAGCCCCCTTTAAGTTTCTTAAGTGTGGTCTAAAACAATGTCTCGTGATGAACATTCATCGACAGCCCATGACCGGTTTCGTACTTCTTGGGGCTCATCAGGTAGGCGCAGTCCTCGGGTTTCCTCAAACTTTTGTCCTCCCTTAAACCAACTTGCTTGGAAATATCACAAACGAGAGATTCAGCTGGGTTCCAGGTGAGACTTGCAAAACCAAATTTGTTCGCAAATGAGTGCATTTAGCTGATTTCGTGCAATTCGGTTTCAAGTAGAACATAATGTTGACGGAAACCCGGGGACTGCACTTATATGATGAGCCTCAAGAAGGGCGAAACAGGTCGTGGGCTGTCGAAGAATTTTCAGCAACCTAATGGATAGTGCATTACGAATATACATGCATCGCTATATCTCGTATATCGTAGCGAATGGAACATGAGGCGACCTGGTGCAGCACATTCAGTTGCCTGGAAACATCGCAAACGAGAGATTCAGCTGTCTCTCACAAATCAAACTAGTTTGCAAATGAGTGTATTTCGCTAATATCCCTTGATGTTTAGAATTAGCGAAGATTTTGGAAAGATGCGTAATTAAATTCCAGCACACTGTTTCTTGTCAAACCTGTTCCCATGGGTACAGACTTGACACACTAATCATAGTATTGCTGTGCAGTCCCTGATTTTCCGTCAACCTTATATTCTTTTTGAATCCAAACTGAATAGATTTATACGAATGCTCTCATTTACACACAAATTTGGCTTTGACCGATGACACAGCTGAATCCAGTTGAATCTTTCGTTTATAAAGGGCAGCTTCAACGGAATATGGTTTACCAGGGGGTATTTTTTGGTTCTAACCTCATTGTCTTTTACCAGGAACTTGCCAGCTATGACTTCACGGGCTGCAGAAATTCCGCTCAATTTCAATTCTTCTACCCAGATCATCATCGATCTTCTCATGCATTCAGTCATTTGTACGGTACGGTGCTTCATATTTGTCCGCACAAAATTACGCCTATTCGAACCACCATCCCACTGTCTTCTGGATCGGTGTACTTCGATGGTTCTGCAATGACCCTAAGGCTTGACTGACCTGTTCGCTAAGCTGAGCACTTTAATTGTGAACATTTCATCATCACCACAAGCGAAATCCTCAGTGCATTCTCCGTAGAGGCGCAGTATGGGTAGAAATTTGTGGATGCTGTAAACGCTAGGGTTTAAATAAGGCCTAATTATCCACGCAAACGTTGAGTTATCATTTGTATTCAAGATACGACAGAGGTTCCTATAAACATGGCTCCATAATAAATCCACGTACTGAAATCGACACTACATACGAATCGATGCCGGCTTAGTACCAGTAAAGCAATTGTTGCAATGGACCCGGAACCGCCTCTTTGTAAAAGAAAACGAGCAAAAGCTATCACGGGGAGACTGAACCCGTCACTTATCAAGGTTAACGTGAAGTAAACTATTCAGAAGAAGTCAGCCAACTGACCGTTAAGTCTACTCACTCAAACCACCAGTGGGAAGCCAGGGTCGGTCCGGATAAGTAAGCCCTGTATAAACTACCCGGGCACCTCCATTCACAACACAGTTCTCGTCAAGACGCGTTGGCGACATCACCTAGAATGGTGATGACACATCTGCATTCAAATTACCAAGATCAACGAGCGCATTAACGACCATCAAGATAGTCCGAGCTACACTTACTGTTTTTGACTGAAACCAAACTCTGAGACATTAGGTTGTGTTGGCATGCTGGTGCGGTGATAGTCTTAGAGCTTCACCGCTTTCACTTTCTAAATGGATCTACGCACGATGTAATCAGATTCATCTGAAGCGCATACTCGCCTGTTTTCCCTTCCGGTAATTCAGTTTCATCTCGTGAGGCCTTTTCAACACTCGTGATGCCTGAGACTTGCACGCCGATATTTGGACAGGCTGATAAACATTGTCAGTTATCTCTGTATTTGAGCGCCTGTCGGGTAGAGCATTTTAAATTTGGCCTCACCAACAAATAACATTCTTTTTTTCGGTCGTTCAAGTTAAAACATATATCAGTATACTTTCCTTAAACAAAATTGCCTACAGGCGGTGACTTTGTATATATATAGGAGCCAAATTTGCTTCAAAGATGAACCGCCTTCACAAATTGCACATTATTTATCGCGAGTTGATGCGTTCGGTAAAATTATGTTTGCTTCAAGATGAACCGCCTTCACAAATTGTACATCATTTACCGCGAGTTGATGCGTTCGGTAAAATTATGTATGTTCCAACATCATTCCAATTTACCTTAGTTTTGTAACAAAAATTCCACGACAAATATGCCGGAGCGAACGAGGAATCCGGTGAAAGCTGTAGAAAACAGAAAGTGATCCGAGTTTTCAACTGGCTTGTCGGTGGCAGCAACAGAAGTTTTTGAAGAGATGCACCCGACGGGTTGTTTCCTCCGACTTTTTGCCCTACTCAGGATGCGCATGAAGTACCATCTAGAAAGGTTTTGAATTTCAGTATCTGAAAACGTGGAAATAAGCTTGTTTGATCGATACCCGCATTTGATTTTTCGTCCCTTTTGTCTACGAAGCATTTTATCTGATACCGAGATGGGTGTCACATTCCACACAAATCGACAAAGATTCATGTCTTGACATCGCCGTATCAGCTGATCTGACTGCGAGAATCTATGCTACGTGGAAGAGAACAGCCCACACGTTCACAAATACGGGCGATGTTGTGTTTGTTGTGTGCTTGTTGTAAAGCCTACCCAAACCCGTTCCATCCTGCGGGGAATGGCAAGTAACTCAGTTATTAACCGCGAATTCTCATGTGAAGGAATTCAAACTCAACGGAAATCTCGGGGCACATGAAACTAGACGGAGAGAACACAAAACGGAAAAGGATGAGCAAAAACTATTCATGCTGCAACAACCCAGGGTAACACTCTCCTGTTAACCTGAAATACTTCGACCTTACTAGTTTCCAGAAACAGTTTACTGAGCAAAAAAATTCCGCAGTAAGGCAAATCGCTCTGTCTCAAAAGCGTGTTTACCGAGGCGTCGTGTTGTTTCGGAATTCACATGATTCCCCCCACCCTACAAAACAACATATATGGAACATAAAGTTGACGGAAACTCATGGACTGCGACTACCTGATGAGCCCCCAAGAAGTGCAAAACTGCTCGTGGATTGCACAAGTGTTTTGAGCAACTTTATGAATGGTGTTCCTTCAAGTAGGCAGGTAGGAAGTTTGTACGCCTATACATGGCCTAGCATCTAGCTCACTTTTAAGAGATACGAGCTGCTTCAGAACTGATACAAAATTTCCAAATTATTGTAATTGCGGTGACTATTTATAACCCGGCAGTTAAGGAATGTTTGATGCGTTATCAACTCAGCTTCGTGATGATGGTGACCTCTTACATGACGATATATTAGCTTCCTCCTACTGTGAGCCAATTGACCCGTTAGCATCTCACTATGTTGTTCACGACAAGCTGATGTAATCACTGATGAAACAAACACAGTCGAAGCAAGATGGGCGAAACAGGCACTGGGCTGCCTAAGAGTCTTCAACAACTTCATGTGCAGTGTGTTCTCCCAAGAGGAAATACTCATTAGCTGCTCCATTCGCTTGAAAAAAGTCTACCTGCTATTCATATTTGGTGTCATCAGAAGTGCACATTACAAGAAATTGGCTTGAAGCCGTTCTTTCGTGCCTCTAGTTTGAAAAAGTGTCCCTTGAAAAAAGTCTACCTGCTACTCATGTTTGGTGTCATCAGAAGTGCATATTACAAGAAATTGGCTTGAAGCCGTACTTTCGTGCCTCTAGTTTGAAAAAGTGTCCACCAAACGTGACGGGATTAAATAGCACACAACTGCGTTCAGGTACCCGAACACGTGTCCATTGATTTTCATGATGTGTATGCATTTGAAAGAAGTAGTCTCCAAACTTCTGCCAAAAACTTCGACGAAAGGTTTTCACTAGTGAGTCAAGAAGTATAATGTCGACGAAGGCCTCATGCTTGATTGGATTCAAGGGTTCGATCCACTGGCAAAGTGTGCACAAGAAGAAAAGGGGTAAATGAATAAATCCAAAAGTACCGCTATAGACATCCAATGGTTTCCCTCACAATTATATCTAGACTAACCAAACAAAACCAGCATTTAGTTTCACCCTCACTGTTGAAGTTGAGATAATTTGCTGCTCTCCATCGCTTGATCGTATGTTTGTGGCCGCCAGTACCACTCTGTACGAACTTAACTGGCCCGTGCGGGACGTGGGGAGTTAGATAGGCATCGCGCTACTTTGGGATATGGGTTAAAATTGGTCTGTATATCACCTTGCTTTTGGAATAACCCCTAGTTGTCACTACTTTGTACTTGTCAATGTATCCCCCTTGTTAGCTGAAAAGTTGAAGTTAAAAGGTTTATCCACCGCTCGACTTTATTTACCAGGTAGTTCTACACCAATCGATAGTAAACAAAGGCCTGAGTAAAAGCACTCAGTTATAACAGCGTAACTGCTAAACTGTCCATCAGTTCTCCGCAAACATCTCGTCACCAACTGACATCTCATTAATGTGTGATTATTTTGATCACCGATCAATATCTGACGTGACTGATCGATTGGGAGGGGAGCAGGCCAACAACCAGTAAATGCGACTACGTTACCAATTCCTTAAGTTTACTCGCAATGTCGAAAGTAGCAAAACAGTTGTGAAACATGCATGGTCTAAATCCGGCGGACTTTTTATGCAACAATAAATATGAAATAATATGACACTACTCAAGACAGACCCACCTCCTTGGTGAATATGTTGAT